AATCATAAATCACAAGGGTAGACAAATTAAAGAATAATTAGAGAAAATAGAACCTGGTTTTGTTGCCACCTCTTGATAATAAAAACCGAAGAAGAGGGTCCAACAACTTACGCTGTAATTTCCGTAAGATTTAAATTACCAGAAACTCTTTCGGGTACTTCCTTTCTTTGTCAACTAGCGCAATAAACAACCCTGAGATATGTTCATGTTGCTTATATCCATGCCATATGTTCTAAGTCTTTGTATTTCCATAAACATGTGAGTCTTATTTTCAACCAATGGTTAACGTGCAAATTTCGTTCCTCCATCTGATGCCACGCAGAGTAAATTTCCAATAAGCTCACCATAAAAGGGAGATTCTTCTGAGAATCAAATAACGATGCCGAGAGAGATTGAAATTGTTCTCGCGTTATTTGCTCCACATAGATTCCCACAAAATGATGGCAATACTAATGGCATCACGTATTAGGGTTTCACGTAGCCACTAAAGTAATTCACATGGAATCTTTCAGAGAAAATTCCAAACAAGATGCAATTTTACTTCAACAAAGGAATATTCTGATAGATAAGCAGCCTATAATCATCCAGACCGGCAGACTAACAATCAGAATTCCATTCTGAATTAATCTCTTTATCAACCATCCGAAATTAATTAATTCTAAATCATAGATGAGATATTTCAAAAGTTTCTTCTCTAAAACTTGAATGAAAGCATCGCCATTTTATTGGACTTAACCAAATCAATCACATAGAGAACCGTATGAAGCATCACAATTGCAAAACATTCAAATTCTTTAATTTTTCTTTCTCGTCAGAACAGTCAGATGTTAAGACAAACACAGAAAAAAATTGTTAAATTCCTCAAGATTGTTGGTATTATATTGTGTTCAAAATCAGAAAATTAGAGAAGTAAACAAACGTTAGTTCAATAAACAAAACGTAAAATAATTCCGAGCCCACTGAATGCACAATGTGTCCTTAAGGAATTTAATCCTCTCACTGTTGCCCAAGGTATACGGATTAATTCCTCCCAAGATAGAACGGAATAACTATTTTGTGATAGCGGCACTTCAAATCACAGAACTTCAGCGAACTCAACAAACGGAGCAAATCACACTTGACACTTATGTTTATTTAGAAAATAATGCAACAATGTAGAAAAGAGGGGAGAAGATTTCAGATTTTCCATGTCTGATTTCATGTCTGAAAAATGAGGCCAAGCCTCTAAATTTATAGACAAAGGAAGGATGATATGGAGAGGTGTAATCTAAAAGGTGCCTCTTCCATTTCTCATTCACACCCCTTAATAAAAACGCAACAACGATTTCCACAGTCCTGCCGGAAAAGAGCCGGAACCTGCTTCCTCAGTTATGACTGAGGCGAGGAATGAACTTGAGCTATGTGGAAACGGCTGTGTATTATTCCAAAAGACACAGTAAGTAAACGGCTATGTGTCTTTGCTAAACTAAAAGGGAATACTTTGATAAACTGGTGAAACTGAAGTAATCATACTGAAGCCAAAAAGTTAAAAGTTGAATTACTGAATTACCCATTAAAAGTTGCGTGACCAATTTGCTTTGGCACTAAAAAGTAAATCTATCTTTCAATAAAATATAATGTAATTAAAATAAAATTAGATAAATCAATTCATACTTCTCGGGCTACAAGCCTGCAACACTCACTTACTACTCTTATGCAAGGCGTTGGAATTTCTTTTATATTCCAGCAGTTATTGCAACCTTTAGAATACCAATTTAATATTTTGAAGTTCTTTTCAGCTTTCTACATAATTATAAAAATTGAACTAATATTATTTGGAAAGATGAAGTAACTATGCATATATGATGTATATCAACCGTTCTCATCCCTCATTTATTTGTTAAATCATATTCACATACAAAAAGTGAAAAACTAAGTCAATCAAGCAATTATTCCTTCTGTCTAGCAGTTATCAATTTTTAAAAAATTATTCTGTAAATTTAGCATATTTACTCATCATCTGCAACACATAAAACCAAACTACAAGTGCCGAATCAGGTAATTTGATTTTTTTCAGTTACTTTTTTTACGAGTGTTTTGCTAATTCTATAGGTATTTAACGATATTTTTCCTTGTTATGCTTCAGTGAAAAAGTTCTTGGATAATTTAATTTATAAAAAAAAGTTTCGAGAAACCCATGAAAGATGCTCCATCAAAAAATTTAGGCGAAATACATAAGTTACCCCCTAAATTATGGACCAAATCTCTGTTACACACTTTTTGCGGACGAAAATCACTTTATACACTCAAACTTTTCAAACTAAGACACACCACTTTTATTACGTCACACGCGCGTGTTGACCAAAAAGATATAAGCGCGTAAAACTGTGAATTTTCTGTCCCAGTCATTATTTAAATGACATGTGTCAAACTTTAAATTTTTTCTTTTTTTAAACACTAGTATTTGGTTTCTTAACTTTGACCCCATCCCTTCCCCGATTCATCTTATCAGGAGCCCTCCCTTTGTGCTAGTCCACTGAAACTCCCCTCCCCCATTTCCGTCTTCTTCCACACTATTTTTTCCCATCTTCTCTCTCTCGATAATTTTAAGAAAAACTATAATGTAAAAAGATTTGGAAGAAATTGATAAAGAAAATTAAGTGGACTCTATAACTAAGAAAATTCTGTAGAACTGAGTTTGATTGCTTATTTTTACCTAATTTTCGAAGAGTGTATTAGGATCGTTTTCTTTGACCTCTCGTCGGGTTGAGCAAAATAATGTCCTCAGCTCTATTTTGGAAATACATGAGACCTTCCTCTAACTTGATATGTTATGAAAGATCTTTGTTCTGAAATGATCTCTTACATAGTCAACATTCATTAAGAGAATTTAAAGAAAAGTTAAAATTGATGAAAACTCTGACAATGTCTTCTTTAATGATGTTTGCAGTTTTGGGTCATAACTTTTGTGTTAGATTCGAATTCCGACTCCAAAACTTGGGATTAATCTGCTTGGGCATCTAATTTTGGTTTGTAATTGGAAGGTGATAATTGTGGTTTTTTTTATGGTGGTCGGCGGCAATGGAGAAGAGGCGGAGAAGAGAGATTGGAGGGGAAGGTTGAGGGGTATATTTGTAATTTTAAATTATTATTTTATTTTTGAAAATTAATCACACATGGCATAGTATTATTGGTGCGTGATATTACACACGCTTTGAAAAACTGGTCAAGAAGAAAGTGGTGTGTCTTAGATACACTTTAGAAAGGTTGAGTGTGTAAGCTGATTTTTGTTCGCAAAAAGTGTGTAACAGGGATTTGATCTATAGTTCAGGGGGTAACTTATGTATTTCGCCAATAATTTAATCTTTGTGGTGCATTCTATTGCTTTTTCTTCTAATCGCCCTCTGCAACTAAGTCAGTTGAGTTCTTTCGGCTCTTAGACCAGCTGTGATCTTTCCTCCTGTTGGTTTTTTCCGTTGGTTCTTTGAACCTTATTAAATAATTTAATTACTATAATATCATTCAAATTCTGTTTCTTTCTCTTTCCTTTTTTGTCTTTTTATTTTTCATTATATGATTTGATGTCTATAGCTTTGTTTTGTTACTCTTTGAGATGCACGAATACATCACTTATTTGCATGAATTTGCATTTCATTATTTTTCCGTAAGGTTATATATATGGTATATTTCATCTGAATATATATGTCATTATGCTCTTAGGGAAAAAGTTGGTGATTGGCTCGACATTTTAGTCGATAATAACCTTTAGCAAGCTCTTTTTTGAAGTGATATTCTAATAATGTGTTAATTAATGTTTATTATGCACTCTAAATTAATGGTATAGTTCTTTATTTTACTACTTCACCTTATTCTTTCATTTTACGGACATTTTTATGAGTTATCTTTAGATAAGAGGGAGAATAATAAGTCATTCACCGAGCAGAATTTCAGTCAATTACCAAGTATTTAGAATGTTTATGGCGCTGAGCAGTCACCCTTTCTTTCTTAAACTTTTTTTCAGCATTACAAGATAATTGCTAAAGCCATGAAAACTTTTCTGGGGGCTATACAAGAATATTCATTGGTAATTAATTTTCCGCGAATTTTCCTACCAAAAGAAAAAATTCGATGAAGAAATCTTCGTACCTAATTATTACCTATGGATTTTCAAATGTTTTAACCTTTTATGTAATCATATGATTACTTATTTCATTTTATAGTCATCTTTATAAATTCACTTTAGACAAAAAGAAGAAAAATAAATCAATTTCAAGTGAATTTCAACAAACAATATACCAAGTATTCATAATGTTTTAAGGTTAACAGTTCTCATTCTCATAATTGAACTGAAATCCTTCTTTGATAGATTATTATATCCGTCGAATAGGTTCGGCGTTGATCAATTTGAGCTTATATTCTTCCTTTTAGAATTGTCATGTTACTAATTTGAGCTTATTCCTTTTTTCCGTATACTAGATCGGCTTAATAAGTTCACCATTAACTAAATTGAGCATATATTCTTTCTTTTCAAGTTTTCTATCACACACATTTTTTAATTTTATCTATTTTACTATAATAAAATTTGTATTAATTGATATGGATATACGTGCATTCAGAAACTAATATAATTATAAATCTGACACAAAGTTTAAGGACTAAATTGAATGAGATCAAGGACTTCTATGTGACAAAGTTTCTCCTTCCTCGAGTTACCTATTTGGGACCAATATTATCAATTACAAAGCTTACACCGAATATTTTATAATTTGAACATAATTTTTAATATAATATTTATGTGATGATGTACACGCAAAACGTGCTTACAATAAAATTAGTAATTGAAAATTCAATTGAACTTCCTTGGGCCCAGAGGCAGAGCTAGGGTGACATAAATAGGAGATGTTGAATAACTAAAGTTAAAATTATTTTTTATGCATATTTATATGTTTAATTTATGATATTTAGAATTCCCTATAAACATTGTGCTTGGGCCTTTGACTGCCCTATGGGAAAGTCTAAAAGAGAGAGTTCAAAATTCAAAAGTTCCCACGCATATCCTTCTTCCTCAGTGATGCTCTCCCTTGCTAAAGGCAAAAGCCCTAAGAAAATCCAAAATGCTGAGGCCAAAAAGGCGTATTCAGAAAGAGCCGAGAGGAGTCAAACAGAAAAAGCTAAAAGCATCATCATCTTCCTCCTTACCTCCACCTTCTTCTTCCTTACCATCATCGCCGTCGCTGCCGCTTTCACCGCCGCCGCCGTGGGTGGAGCTTCCGCTGGATATCACGGCAAATATTCTGCAGCGTTTGAGAACGATAGAGATACTGGAGAATGCACAGCGAGTTTGTACTGCCTGGTGGAAGGCGAGCCATGACCCCACTGTGTGGCGTGTTATCGACTTGAGGAACCACGATGTTGATGCCAAAACGCCTCGAATGTTGGAGAATATGTGTCGGATTGCGGTAGATCGTAGCCAGGGCCAATTGCTCAAAATTAATATCGAGAATTTTGGTAGCAGAGACTTGCTCAACTACATTGCTGAGAGGTACACCAGATTTTGTTTAAATCAGTTGATTTAACAAATAAATTATCTTGAGTTCTAATGCCAAAACTATAGCATATCCATCCAATGTCTGTTAAGTCATGCTTAAGCCCGAAGATGTTTTAATAACATGTTAGTATTAGGCTACTTGGGAATCGGCCCTCGGCCTTTGGTCTAGTGGTAAGAGCATATTATCGTGAGATGCAGATAAGACAAAACCCTATTATTAAAGTGAAGAAGGGTAGAAGGGCAAGCCCATTAACCACGGAGTTTAAAACCGTGTACGCACTGGCCCTTGGGGGTTTCTCCGTTACCAGAAAAATATTAGATTATTGAAAAAAAGCATTCTATTCGGCATTGCTACTTTGCAAAGGCTTCAAAGACTTATACTGCGGGATAGGTCAAATCATATACAAGTTATTTACAAGCCTATTCTATCTAGGAGAAACTGAACACAAAGAAAAATAAAACACTATGTGAGACAGGTAGAGCCACAAGGTTCTTCCACTATTTGTGTATGAACCTCCTCTAAAATGAAGAAAGGAGATGGTTTAAAAGAGGATTTCTGGACGGGTGAAGTAATGGGTTTGGAAAAATGAACCGAGTGTTTTAAAATGTTTATTTCCCTCCAATAGTTTATAGGATAAGCTTCTTACAATAGTTTACACGTCTAAATTCCATCTATGTCTGGGTTGCTGCCGTACGTAATAAATTCGTTAAATCCACGTATTTATATTCCAAATTCCAATATCTAACGGAAACATTTATTCATGGTAAACTATAACATTTTTGCTTGTTACTTTTTGTTACCTCCACTCAAGTAAAAGTGCTCCTAAAGTTATCAAATTTGCTACTTATTTGAACAGATCAAGTCAGCTCAGATATCTCAGATTTGTCAAGTGTTATTATATCTTAGATGGATGTTTGGCTGCAGCTGTTAAGAACTTCCCTTTGTTGGAGGAGTTGCACATATACTTCTCCGATATTAACAAAGATCATATAGAAGTTATTGGTCATTCTTGCCCTCAGCTCAAGTCATTTACATTGAATGCCCGTGGATTTCGAGGATATCAATACGATGATGAAGCTCTAGCTGTTGCCAGAAGTATGCCTGAACTGCGACACCTTTCCCTTTTTGGAAATGTCTTGACAAATGAAGGCCTGCGTGCCATTCTTCATGGCTGTCCGCACCTTCAATCGCTTGACTTACGCCACTGTTATAATATCAAACTTAAAAGGGATCTTAGAAGAAGATGTAGGCAACAGATTGTACATCTAAAGCATCCTCGTGATTCCACTTATGGCTATGAGTTTGATGCTCAAATTTGTGATTATTCGCCTCCTGTTGGTGACTTCCCTTGGTCCTTTGATGATCATTTTAATGAGTTTGAACTTGAGTGGTGGTAATTGCATTTGGTATTTTGCAGGTTTTATTCGCTTTTTAGGTGATCTGCCATCCTTTTGGAACAGTAACAGGTGAAGTGTTTATTGTTTTGAATAATTGTAATTAGAATGGCCAAAGTAATCCTCTTTCTTTTGCATTTGAGAGGTGACTTCTAGATAACTTTTGCCCTTCTTTTGTTCATACCTCAAAGGTTTTTGGAAACACCCCCCCCCCCCCCCCCCAAGGCAAACCCCAAAGACTATTCTTGTTTGCTATGTATCTTATATCACCTTTTTCTGAGCTTGTGTATACAAGCTAACTATAGTACTTGTTTAGAGTAATTTTTTCCTCTCTTTTTTCTCTTGAGAGAATGGCCGCTTCTTCAGTGGACTCAAATTCACCTATTTCCTTTTCCAACTTCCAATTAAATAGCTAAGCAGATTATTTGCATTAATGCTTACATTACACTCCACGAGGGAGCGGTCCTTCTCTAGACCCTGCATTACCTATTTCGTCATAATCATGGGTGAATCTGACTTATAGTCTTTCCATGAACTCTTTACAAAAAGTTCATTTATACTTTCTTGGTTGTTACCTTAACCTCATATTTAGTGATAGTATTTTCCATTGCATCGGGTTCTGTTATGTCTAAAGTGGTACGTTGTTTGCAAAGTGGAACTTCTCCTTGAGCGGACGGCCAAACAATGAATATATTGAAAACAAACAAAGTCGGTTTGGTTCGGTTTTTTTCTGATTAAAACCAAAACCAAATCAAATTTGATCGGTTTTTAAAATTCAAAACCAAAACCCAACCAAACCAAAAAGTATCGGTTTTTTTGGTCGGTTTGGTTTGGTTTTCGGTTTGGTTCGATTTTTCGGGTTTTTGTGAACACCCCTATGTCCAACTCCAAGTTTGCGATAATAGTATCCTCTTCGATTGGGAGCACTAAAAACATTCATAGTGACCTTTCTACGACGTGAATCTGAATTAGTCATGCCAATATATATCGATACTTAAGGAAAAGAATAAAACAACAACATACCAAGTATTATCCCACACTGTCGGGTCTGGGGAGGGTAGTGTGTACGCAGACCTTACCCCTACCTTGGGAGGATAGAGAGACTATTTCCAATTCTTAAGGAAAAGAATGTGGGAGAAAAAATACCTTTACTTGCGGTCTACGTTTGACGGGGGAGAGTATATCAAGAAATCACTTGTGGTTAAGCATAATACATAAAGCATAACATGAAACATGTAGAGAAGACAGATAAAACAATTTAAATCCACACACTAAGTACTACTTAGCTATACAACAGTGCTACATAAATGTCACCAGTTTAAAAGACAAGGTTGTTAACAAGGCATAGCAGTTCTCATATAATCACACCCATTTTTACGTTACATAGATCGGCTTGATGCTATCATATCACTAATTTGCGACTCAGTTGAGTCCCGAGAGAAGACAAATGGAGAACCGGCCTTTTACGTGCTTTTGCCTTCTTAATCTGGATCAGCTGGTCATAAACACACCAGGGAAAGCTAATGAAATGATCTCTTCTCAACCCCTCATTGTAGAGGCCCCAATATGTATGATGATATGTAACATGGTACCAAGCCGAAGCCTTTGCTAACATGTCATCTATATCACTACGCTTCTTGAACCAGGTCCTTGCTTCTTTCCTCAAAGACCTCACAGCAACACCAATGGCCTCTGCATCTTTTCTGCGGTCAAAAGTTTTTGATGCTTTCATGACGCCACCACTAAGTATTTCAGCCTCAGTTTTTATGCCGTAGTAGTCCATTAAATTACCAAGCTTGTTGTCGTATTCACTTTTGTAGTAAAAAGCTTCGTCAGTGTAATCTTCGAATCCATTGACTATCATATCACCATCATATGATTTCCTGGCAACATCCATTGTGAAGGTTGCGATAGAGCTAGCCTGAGGTGTTTTGTCCTTCACTTTCCTGAAAAGCTTTCCAATAACTTTTTCCGAGTGATAGGTTGGCTTGTCTGGCTTTTCCATGAAGTCGGGGTAATCTTTAGGGCGCAACTGAGATGGTATTTCAGCAGGAACACCAGTCTTTGGAAAGTCAACTGCAATTGAAAAAAGCTGAGCGAGTTGTTTGCACGGATCACTCATGGCCATATCAGGTTCTCTGTCTGCAAATACAACATGCGCATTCGCTATGATTCCCAAACTGTCATTCACAATATAGTTGGTGAAGTACTCTTCAACTTCCTGCAGTAAGCAGACAGTGTACAATTTTTAATGCATATACACATCTATAAGGTAAGAGAGGTTGAATACATCAGAAGCATGCTAAATTATGGAAGTAAAACTTAGTTGTTCGAAACCAGGGGTACCTCAATTGTGACATCATGATCCAACTGTGTGCTCGGTGCTGGAGTATAATCCATCGGCTGGACTTGCCTTGGCGGAACCAGGTCTGGATCCCAACAAACAAAGTAGATATCCCCGTCCAAATCACTTCCAGAACATTCATTTGGATGAGGTCTGTCATCAAAGTTTAAACACTGAGAAACAATGCCATGAAAAAAAAGATAAAAACAGAACTTTTCAGTCATGCCAAACATACAGTGTAAGAACAAGAGGTGGATCCAAGATATTAATTTTGATGGCTCCGACCTTTAGGTTCTTACTGTTGTACCCATTACGCTTTTGAAATTATTAGGTTCAAATTATATTTTTTTTAATAATAATCTTTTATACACGCACACACACACACACACACACACACAAATATATATATCTATACTTTGTGGTAAAAATGTTGGGATCAATTGAACTCATTAACTATATGCTACATCATCCACTGCTACTAGCTTCACTATACAACATTTGGTTAATTATAAAATTTTATGGTCACTAAAGGATAGTAGAGATTTCAATGTGTCAAGAGTTGGAAATTTTGAAGAATAAACCAAACAAAGAAAGAAAGAAAAAGAAAAAAGTACTTAATTAAAACACAAGAACTGACACCAGACATGCCCATACTCGTGGGTTGGCCCAATTCTAGAAAAAGAAACGAAAAAATAACAAGAGACACAAGATTTGAACCCCCAGTATCACTTAGAGAGGTGCACCCAATAACCATCGCATCATGTGATACTTTGAGCTTGGGTACACACATATTTAAGTATTTTTGAAAAAAAATAATATTACTATACGTGATCTAAGGAGCAGAGCATGGGTTCACGTGAACCGAAGAACCCCCCTTAGATATGCCAATGTGTAAGAACGAGGCCATCAGTAAATACTATAAAACAATAGAAATTCCACTTTCTTCTCAATGGAAACACAATGTAAGCTACTTCATAATGGTCATGTCAAGCTACACAAATTTTGATTATATGCTTCTTTCCAAAATGAAATTTCTTGACTAAATAGATTCCTAATATAAGCTTCTTACAGGAATTGATTTTCATAGTTGTTGGCCAAACATCTATGCCAACAATCGTGCTTTCATGCAAGAGTGACCAAACATTACATGGTCAAAGACTCAGAGTTTCAGACTTTATCTGGTATAAATATTTGAAGTTAACAAAACAAGGTAGAACGTGAATTCCAGTTATGATTCTAATCAAGAATTCAACATGGTACGACAAGACTAGTTGCATTTTCTGTAAAGTTTTTCTAAATTCACTCACTAAAAGAAATAACACGTTTTGATAGTTAGTAAGACTAGGTAAGAAATGGTAAATCCCTCTATAAGATTACACGGAAATCAAACAGTGAATGGATCAGAACTTGTATATCAACAGTGAAGTTTTCTGTGTTGGTGAATGGAAATCCGGTAGGATTTTTTAGCTCCCAGAGAGGATTGAGACAAGGGGATCCCCTCTCCCCTTATCTTTTTGTCCTGGTAATGGAAATTTTGAGTTTAATGTTAAAAAAATCTGAGAAGCTTGGATGGATTGGGGGTTGTAGAATGGAGAATCATGAAAGAGGAGAAATGACTGTCTCACATATCTTATATGCAGACGATACCCTGTTATTTTGTGAAGTCAAGAGGGAGCAAATTCTCTATCTTAGAGGGATCCTGTTGGCATTTGAAGCAGTCTCAGGCTTGAAAATAAACCTGACAAAGAGTTGTATTTTCAGTATTAATGCTGATAACATGATTGAGGAATTGGCTGATATTCTGGGTTGCAGAATTGAAAAGTTTCCAACCAACTATTTGGGGCTTCCACTTGGTGTGAAGAGGAATGATAAAAGAATGTGGCAACGTGTAATTGATAAATGTACAAAGAAGATGTCCACATGGAATAAGCAATATCTGTCCTTTGGAGGAAGAATCACTCTGGTTAATAGTGTGTTGGATAGCATACCAACCTATTTGATGTCTTTATTTCCTATACCCTCGGCAATTGAGAAGAAAATCAATTCCATTAGGAGTCAGTTTCTATGGGAAGGCAATGCAGAAAAAAGGAGAATGCATCTGGTCAATTGGCAGAAAGTAATGAGAAACAATGTGACGACCCAAAAGGTCATCACTTGCTTTTAAATTGAATTCTGTGTTCCGGGGCCTTAAAAACCTCTTTTATCTTCACCTCGATTTGCGTGCGCAGTCCGGGCGTGTAGCCGGAAAGCTGTTATGTGAAAATCTGTGAAATATTGAAATTTTGACTTAAAATGCATTTAAGTTGACTTCGGTCAACATTTTGGGCAAACGGACCCGGACCCGTGATCGGACGTTCCCGGAGGGTCCGTAGGAAAATATGGGACTTGGGCGTATGCCCGGAATCGAATTCCGAGGTTCCAAGCCCGAGAAATGAATTTTTAAAGAAAATTATTTTCTGGAATTGTTTAAAGGATTTGGAAATGAAATTTGATTAGCACATGTCGGTATCGGGCCCGTATTTTGGTTCCGGTGCCCGGTACAGGTCTTATATATGATTTAAGATAATTCTGTGAAGTTTGGTAAGAAACGAAATCCGTTAGACGTGATTCGGACCTAAATTACAAAAATTGATGTTCTAAGAAGTTTTGAAATATTTCATTGATTTTGAGGTTTAATTCGTTGTTGTTGAGGTTATTTTGGCGATTTGATCGCACGGATAAGTTCGTATGATGTTATTGATACGTATGTTTGGTTTTGAGGCCCGAGGGCTCGGGTGTGTTTCGGAAGGTTTTTGGGACTCAAAAAGTTGCAGGTTTTTGATGTTCGGTGCCCAGGGATTTT